TATGTTGCTGTGAGTTCATGAATAATCGTATCAAAAACCTCGCAAAATGGCTTTGACATTTGACATTCAACATTACCATTAACTGGCAAATGTTAGGCTTACAAGAAATATTTATCTTAGACATCTCAGTTGACTTGTCCCACAATTTTGCCATGATATGATAGATAGCCATCAAGGATTTCCTCTATTATACTGTATATCTCTTACATTTCCTGTCTCGTAGTTGAAATGCTGGGGAATTGAATATATCAGAAACAGTGAAGACGATTGGGCAATCTACAAATATTGCAAATGTATATATGTAGACATCAATATCAATGTAATTGCTGTGAGTGCTTTATGGGTCAAAAAGACAACACTGAAGACCATTGAATCTCATAAGAGAGGTAAAAAAAGTATCATGTCGTTTTGAGAGTCGTTTGCTTGCTGGCCTACTTCTTGAGCATATTAATATAACACAGTTAAAAGCTTTGAAAGAAGGATTCCTAAGCTAAACAAGGTTTGAATGTTGAGAATGTGATAAGAAATAAATGCCTCTTTCTCTTTGCTCTACTGGAAGCTTTCCTCCTGTTAGTCACATGGAGCCCTCCATCCACACTGATGAAGAGAGGCCAAGCACGGAATCACTGTTTGCTTCAAAGGGAGGAGGAACAGTGGGATGATGTCAGGAAACTAAGGTCAGCGCTCTCATTTACAAAATAGTTTTATGCTTAATTTCTTACTTGTTGATGTGAGCAAAAACCAACAATCAATTTTTTTTCAATCTGTTCTGTTCAACTAAGAAAATAATCTCCCATCAGATTTGGTTTAAAGATATGATTCATTTTTACTGTCTTTTTCAGCTAGATAAGAGTATGATGAGAGGATACCTCTCTCATGTTTGTATGGTAAATGTAAAGCTAGAGCCAGGAGACAGTTAGCTTAGATTAACATAGAGACAGAAAAAGCTTGCCTGACTCCTTTCAAGGTAAAATATTCTGCCTACCTTCACTTTAATATCTCACTAAATAACATGCTATATTTTGTTTTTCAATCCCACAAAAACCGCAAGGTAAAAACATAAATATTTGGTTTGGGATGATCCTGAAACTCCAATCACTGTTAATAAATATAATAAATGTTATTTTTAAAGCACCTTTTGATTGCTAAAAGTAATCCAAAAGTGCTAACCAGGAACTAGCCAGGAACACAAAACACCTAAAAGGAAACACGTATAAAGTTCACATAGAGTTCATACATTGAAGGTAAAACATGCTTATGCAAGTGTTTTTTGTAAATATAGCATAACCATCCAGGAAAAGTGATTTTCAAACTTCATTTAGGTGTAAATTGAACGACACTTTCAGATTTGCATTGAAATAAAATGATACATCAATCACCTGGTACGTGTAGGAGACCCAGAGTGCACACATCAGTGGAAATCGTTGCAGCATTTTGTCAAAGATGTGGGAACCCTAATGACCCACTATATTGAAGAAAATGTGTCTTGTGATTATTTGTTATGGAAACTGTGCCAATAAAGTCAAGTCAGTTTCATTGATGTGGCCCAAAGCAGCCCACACCACCCTGTCAATTTCAACCCTCACTTTGAAATGTGCATTCCCCACCCCTCTCAAAAACTATAATAGGGACAAATGATGGAAGGGACCCCTCTCCCAGGACCGATAAACATGCTTCTTTTAACATTTTCATTTAAGTTCCTCCTTCTCTTGCTCATATAGTCAGCCACATCCTCATATACACGCCCAGTGCACTCTAAATAGGTTTGAGTAAAAAGTTTGAAAAAATATAGATTTTTCACTGATTACTGTGGATCCATAAATGAATTTTACAGTAGGGATCTAACGCTGGAGCTAATAATGAAAGGGAGGGTTAGGGTTAATCATCTTTAATCTTATTTTACTTTTTGTTTTGTTGCTGTCTGCATTGGTGAGTGTGTGTATGTGTGCGCCAGCAAGGAGCAGCATTTGTGAACACATGCAGTATATGTGTGTCTGTGTGTGTGCTGACACTCATAATGTGTCACTGTTTGTGCAGTTTAGTGTTAGTCATCTGTTGCTCTATTTTTGGGCTTCAGTTTTTTCCTCTTGTGTGTTTGTTTGTGTTTTTCCTCAGAGTGTGTGCGCATGTGTGAGGGTATGTGAATACGTGCATAACTGTGTGTCAAAAGGAACTTTGTGACCTTTACTTGATGGCCAGGCTAAATAAAGACACAGTCTTTCTACCCTCTTCATATTCGGAAACCTCGCTTGGAAGTCACACACAACTGCACCAGTAATCTATTTTATTGCGCGTTGATCCGTCAACACATCAGTTGCAGATTTTTTATTTCCATTTCACAGCCTGCGCACATACTTTTCAATCAGATGATTCAGCTTGATTTGGATTCTCATCATAGTTCTGGCTAGGCTTCCATTTTTCTCGGAAACGTAGCACTAATAGAGTTATAACAGCAGAGCCTGATGCTGCCCATGATAATAATGGGACAATTTGGCCTCTTCATTCTTTTCTTTATCAACACCAGGAGGCACAATAATGCATCAGTGTTTATACCCGTGAAAAACATGAAAGTAATTGTGTCCACAGGGAAAGCTGAAATGAGGCTCATTCCTAATTCAATGGTGAGCCACACAAGAATATTGTCATGAAAATCATCACACTTCCACCTAGAAACCAACATGGCTTTTATTTTGACACGTATATGTTGTTTGTCAATGAGGGAACTTGCATTTTGTGTGTTTCAATCTGGTTTATTTAAACTAACACAACCACATTTGCTGTGTTTCCATACTTGTGAGGACATTCTCTAACTTCAAAATGTTACACAATACATTAGCTTAACCAACCACTGATGCAAGAAAAAATTATGAACCGGAACAATCTGCCCTACTTTGTAACACAAACTAGTAAAACAACATTACTTCTAGAAATATTTTTGGACAGATTTCGGTGTTCATTAAGATGTTGTTCAATGTTTTGATAGATGATTTTTCAATCTAATGTTTTGTATACACACAAATACATACTGTATTAGATTTGATGCAGAATGATTGTATTGAGGCAATAGTGATATACTGTTGCTATATTTAGTTCAAGTAAATACAACTTTATTTATCACTTTAAGGGCACCTGAAGTGATTTAACTATTATACTATTGGCTCGCTTGCCACTGTGCACAGTGTCATACATTATTACTTAAAGCTGGGAGAAATAAATTGAACCAACCAAGATGTGGTCAGGACGGTAGATATACGTAATATTTACATTGTATTGTCAGTGTGAAAATCAGTGTTAATGTTGTATTTTTCTGACCCCAATAAAAGCAGGTTTTGCCATGGTAATAGCTAAACGGCTAAAGCAGATGTAAATAAGCAATTGATAAATACAAGCCAAATAAATCCCCTTTAACTTAGTCTTTGTTTTCTCACTTTCAAGGTTTATGGCTTAATTTGGTCCTCACACACACACACACACACACACACACACACACACACACACACACACACACACACACACACACACACACACACACACACACCACTATTGAATACCACAGCCACAGACTCCAACAGCGATTCTAATCATAATTGCCTGTGCCCCTAAAAATTGTGTTTCTATCACAGATTTCACAAAGAGAAAGTGCATTTGAATAGTGAGAGAGCCTGTGTGTGCTCCATCCCTCATAATTCATCCTGTCTCTTTGATGTTTTCAGCAGCCACATTACAGAGTTAAGCAATTCTTCTGGCGTTATAACGTGCATAAGATTGAAAATGGAAAATCTGCACTGGAACGCCATGCAAACACATATTCATACTGTGGAATGCTATATCCATCATCATTTTCAAAATGAGATTGAATATATCTGTCTTTGTTTCTTTATTTGTGGGTAGGTGTTGGCATGAACATCCCTCCTTCTACAGGAGCTTGCATAAGCATTGTCCTTATCCTCAAGGCTACTATCACGTAGGAATAGGAGGCCAATGAGAATTCGCTGTTTTTTATGTAAGTTGGACGCTCTCCATCCACTCTCCGGAGTGTCCACTGCCACCAATCAGGCCTGCTTTATATTCCAGCTGAGACTGGAGAATAAGCACCTTAGGGACACTGCGTCTGTCTGGATATACAACACTGTAAACATACACATCACGGCTCTCTATGCTCGGCTATGATAAGTTATCTGTTCACCTCCTCGTGCACCTCAAACCAAAGAACAGCCATGAATATGGAAATTAAACTGCGTGGAGGTTACGGTAAGGCATCACTTCAGTTGTGGGTCTCTTCATCGAGTGGAAATATATGTGGGTGAAGGAAAAGCAGGCCAGCCAGGCTTGATTCAGTGCTTAGAAACCCCCAAACTGCCCATCAGCATAAATCAATTACAATTCACCGTAAGCTTGCTGACCTCAAATATAACAAGCTGTCACTGCAACTGTGTGTGAGTATGTGTGTGTCGAGCCTGTTTCATGACTTGAATACAGTATGTGACACTTGGTGCATAATGACACAAATAATTTGTGTGTGTGTGTGTGTGTGTGTGTGTGTGTGTGTGTGTGTGTGTGTGTGTGTGTGTGTGTGTGTGTGTGTGTGTGTGTGTGTGTGTGTGTGTGTTGTTGTGTGCGTGCATTTGAGATTTTTGGCAACATGCTCCAAGTCCTTAAAGACTTCCTCTGTGTTTGTTGGCAAAAAGCTACATCACTGCTGCAGCCTACTTCTCATGTCCCACTGAGACAGGAGATTTTCCAATGACATCTTGAACTGCCATCAGCCCAAAATGTTAAGCACTGCTTCCTGAACTTATGTTGCTGTTCAGGGTTTTTTCATCATGGCTGGGAATTGCTTCTCAGTTCAACATGAATGCAAGAAAAAAGCATTCGGTGAAAACTCCCATTATGAAACAACTCATCAGTAATTGTGTTCCTGAAATCAAACCCTCATCCCTGGGGTTGTATCATGTGAAGGTATATGAAACAAAAAAAACAGGAAATTACTTGTGCTTTTCAAGTAGCTTTATTTCCAAACTGGAGAGGGATGATGGCAGATGGGCGATAGAAGATTGTAAAGCTCAGACCATGTTATTTGATCCAAACGCAATAAGAGACAATACAGGCGGTTTCAGGGGAGGGATGGTGATCATGAGGCAGATTACTGCATCTGTCACCTTTAAGCAATAATTTATACTTTTCAAAATCAAACAAAGCAGAAGTTTCACCACATAAAGCCATGGTTGGAAGGTTTGAGCAGCATTGCAACTCATATTTATTCGAAGCGGCCATGAATTCATGGCTTCTGTGCCTATTTTTGTTACAAAAGAGTTGCTATAGTTGCCATATTTGTGGAGAGAAACTAAGCGTTTCGGATGAAGGCAGGGAACAGTTGTGTAAGTGCATGGAGCTCTCACTTTCCTCCATTTTGTTTTATCAGACATTTGGATCTCCAAGCAGCTGTGTATGTTATTGATAGTAGCATTAATGTCCTGCACAAATTCTGCAAATCATCAAACTGAAAATGTCTACGGTTGCTAATGATATTTTCATATTCAAGCACTTTTTGATGAATAATTTTAAAAGAGATTTCCTGCTGCAGTATGCATGATTAATTGTACATTCATGAGTGTGCTTGTATCTTTGATTTAACATTTTACTATCACCACATGAAACAATGACAAACATTGCATTGTAGATTCTGCATTATGCACATAACTCGAAGTTCAACTTCCTTCAATTCAACACAAATACATACAACTCAAGCTCAAATATAGCTCAATCCCCACAAAGCAAGAGCTCAAAGGCATGAATCAATTTAGTTCTTTTTCGTGATATTACAAATCTGTACAGTGTTCTCACTCTTTGATAGCAGTTTCACTTTCAGAATAAAAGCACAGTAACAGAGCAATAAATAGGTAACAGACAGAAAACACAAAATACTCTGAAATAAATTATACAGTTTCTTCAATCTTTGTGTCCCATCACACACACACTAAATATAAAGGAATACTTTTTTAAAGCAACACAGAGCCGGATATCACAGAGTCAGGCTGGTGACCTATAAGGCTCTTTGGTCCCTTGGGAGTGATGACTAACAGCCATGTACTCAATATCACTGATAAACACTGACTTTCAGTTCGATAAGACTTTCTCAACATGGCTAAGTACTGATCTGTCAATCAAGTAGAAACATTCACAAAGTGATGGCGTCACCAGGACATCTGGTCTCTATTTTTACTAATATTACAGTAGTAGCAGCCAGGAGAGGCACTGTCACTCTCTACAGAAAGAAAACGAAAAATTAACAAGCATACACACATGCACACACACACTCATACAGGTCAGCAGTATTAGACAATCAGTAAATTGAAGTGTTGCTGCTGACAGCCCTTGTCCCATTGAGTCAATAAGCCTGTGTGTTGTTCACAGTCACAGATACATTTTTATTTATTTATTTTTTATCATGAAAGCTGACAGAGCCTCAGTCCCATGGTGAGAACAAATAAATGCACCATTCATGCTCTTGCCTTTATCATGAAAGCTGACAGAGGCTCAGTCCCATGGTGAGAACAAATAAATGCACCATTCATGCTCTTGCCTCTCAGCTATAAACCCAAATGTGCCATGTAGAGGTCCACTGCAGCTGATGTGCCAGAGGCGTTTGCAAAGAGTGACTCAGCCAAATGGTTCTCAGAATAAACCATGTAGGCGTGATTAGTGGTTACATTACACATACATAATTGCATTCTATGTCCTTTACAGTGAATGTAAATGTCTCCCTGCTTAATCAGGTTTTTCTAAAGTAATGTTGAATAATAGGAAACGACTTCCTATATGTCTTCTCCAGAGGCACCTCCAGTTAGATACTAGGAAAAACGTCAGAAGCACTTTCAATAGGCTAAAAGCAGTTTGATTGCATCTCATTGTGTTCATTAGAAGAATTGCTTGATCCAGTCTATTGTTGTGATAGCCTAGATCAAGATGAAAAGCAGGAAACAACAAGCGAAGAGGATGAGGAGGGTCATACTGCCCTACTTTTACATCTCAATAACATACACATTTTTCTTGAAAAATCCCCTACACTTTACCTTGTTCTGCACGTCATGAAAGGGGAAAGCCAAGAGTGTCATTACTAACAACCTGAGTGTCCATTAGGACCCACACCAAGCCAGCAGCTAGGTGTCTGACGTGCAGGCTTTCCTCATGAAAACCCACAAGTTCAGTTTGAAAGGGTGTCATTGTCTGTGCTATCACATTTGAAGTCTTCAGAAACCTTCTCTTGTTGCGCCTTTAGATCAAAATCGAGGAACACATGTTTGCCTTGCAGCTGGTCAAATTAAGACTACAGACGTAAGAAATCACCACTAACCTTGTGTGCTCCTTGTGCTCAGTATTGATAAATAAATGGCCTGAGGCTCACAGAACTCAAAGGTCACTTTTCCTTCTTTATATTTGCTTCCTTTCTCCATTAGTCCTGGAGTATTTAATAATGACAAAACCATATATATTACACATTAAACTGTCTATATTCTCATTCAGGAGTTCATTCTCAACGGGTTTCATGCTTCCCTCTGACAGTTTTATAGAGTGTGTACATTTCTTATTCTGCAGCACCCTGTGTCCCTGTGCACTCCATTATTCAATGTGATCTGGAGATTAAACTTTTTAATCAAAATCGTATCAGCAATACTGAAGTGCGAAGCAGTTAAGTATCTAGTGCTGCCTCTGTTCCATGTCCTGTTTTCATCCCACACCATGAAATATTTGTGCGTATCTGCTGCAAGCTGGGATTTCACAGTCCAAGATGCCTGTTTGCACACACTGTGGCTGTAAAAGAGTGGCTCTCAGTTCTGATTCCTATGCTGGGAACAGCCCTTTGAGTGTTCTGAAAACATGTAAGTGATTGATTTATGATGCCTCAGAAGTAGCATTTTTTGTGTCTAGGTCATGTACAGCTGATACATTATGTATGCTAAAAGAACGTACCCTTGGTGCCACTGCACAATATCTTTTTGAAGGCCTTTCTGAAGTCTTTGTTGAAAATGGTATATATAACTGGATTAAGTGAGGAGTTGCAGTAACCGATCCAGAAGAAAAATGTGAACAGTGGATCAGGGATGGCACACGTCTCTGGGCAAACTGCCTGCAGAGAATAGGAGAAGAAGAAGGGGAACCAGCACACCACAAAGACACCTATGACCACCGCCAAAACAAAGGTGAAGCGTTTCTCTCTGTTGACCATGGCTTTACGCCTCGCTGCTCCAGGGTTGTTCTCTGTCTTTGACTTCCTCCCCGGCACCAGCCGAGCCCCCTTTGAAGTTGCCATCATTTCCCGGTAACGCTTGACTGAGGCCGGGGAGTGGACCCCCCCTCCTGCAGGGGACCCTGGCATGCTGGCGCTGCCTCGGCCTCCTCCATGGCTGTGCTCCATGTCGCTCTCTGTGCTCGAGCTGTCACCATTGTTATTGTCAGCTTTTTTCCCTGCCTGCTTCTTGCCCTTCTTCCCCTTCTCTTTAGTGTTGGCAGGGGCGGGCACAGAGGGGGGAGTTAAGGGGCCACGAGGAGAGGTCTCAAGGGAGGTTGTGACAGGGGTCATGGCTAGAGAAGGGGATGGAGGTTGCAGGAGATTATTGGAAGTGGGATTTAGGGGGGTTTGAGTGTCTCCTGAGGAGGGGGACGGGGTGATGGCGAGGGTGGGGGGTCTGGCACGAGAGGTTTTGTTGGATGAAGGCGGTGTGCTTTCCTCATCATCCTTCCCGTTGGCCTGGATATGTCGTGGAGTCTGACCTCGTGTGGCACAGCCGACCCCATCCTTCCTGGGCTCTCCCGGGGGGCAACGTGTTCTCTGTTTGGCAATTTGGTAGATTCTTACATAGACCAGGATCATGATGAGGCATGGAGCAAAGAAGGAGCCAATGGTTGAGTAAAGGATGTACCAGCGCTCATCATTCAGCTGGCACTGGGGTCCTATCTCAGTCCCCTCCTCTCCTGCCTCACGTTTGTTCAGTGACAGCAGGGGAGGAAAGGAGATGATGGCAGAGATGAGCCACACCACCACAATAGCGGCTTTGATGCGCTTGGGGGTGCGCTGGCGCCCGTATGTGACCCTGGAGATGGACAGATAGCGGTCCAGGGAGATGGCACACAGGTGAACAATGGAGGAGGTGCAGAACAACACATCCAGTGCCAGGTAGATCTCACACCACAGTGACTTGAAGTACCAGTAGCCAAGCAGTTCATTGGCCAGAGAAAAGGGAATGATAAGTGTGGCCACTAAAATGTCTGCAGCAGCCAGTGACACTAGGAACAGATTCTGGGGTCCTCGGAGGGACCGGCTGGTCAGCACCGCGATGATGACCATGATGTTGCCCACGATAGTGAAGACGACCATTAGGGTGATGGCGGTGGCGAATACCGCTGTGGCTTCAGGGGAGTAAGGGGCGGACTTCAGGATGCTCTGGTTGCAGGGCACGGAGGCTCCGGCACCGCTCGCGCTGCTGTTCCAGCCGCTCAGCTCCATGGAGCAGCCGTTCTCCGGAACCAATGCCATGCTGGGATTAGCTTTCAAATAGTCCTTGTAGACAAAAACATATGTTTGCCCACTGAATAAAATGTATTTTCAAATTCTATGTCACTTTTAAGGGTTCTCATTACTGTTTTAAAATATCATCTAACATAGTTTGTGCGTAAAATACGTGTTACATTTATTGTAATATTTGTGATTATAGTAAAAGTATAATTTATATAATATTTACCTCAGTTTCTCTCGTTTTGTCCCTGAGCAGTGTCCAAACGATAGCTCCCTTGCATCCTCCAAGGCAGCTCAGCCAGGTCCATTTTAAGCATACAAAACAGTCCTGGGCAATGCGTCAGGACACGGACAACTGCTTTCAATTAATAAGAGATTTGCCACTATGTCGAGCAGTTTTTAACCCCCCCAAAAACGGAGGTATTTTTCGTGAAGCTGACTGCTGTTCACCAACCACCAACCTTTCCAAAGTATAAACAAAGCCCGAAAACTAAAACTTCTTTGTCGCACACGAAGTTTAATGCTTTTATCTTTTACCGATTTTAAGATCGTATCTTTTTTAATAATGTAATTCGGTGTCATTTATAACGAAGTGACACTGAATACAAGGGACCAGACGAGAGAAAATAATCCCTGTTCGATCTCCGTGCGTCCTCGTTTGGAGACGGGCGTTTGATTAGGAGTCTCATCTGTACGGCGATCACGGAGAGGTTTAGATAAAGTTAAATAAATGTACAGTGCAATATTTATAGGGTTTGTTAATAAAAATATACAAATGTTTCCATGCGATGGCAGCGTTTCGAGCCAATCGAATAAGAGAAAGCACAGAGTTAACCTCAGTCTCTCCAGATTTGCGCGTGAAGCCAGATATGAAGTAAAAACGCGTTGTTTGTTCAGCAGTGAGTCTATTCCCAAAGAGCAGCTTCTGTGTGTGAGTCTCAGGAGATGTTTCCTTTTTCCGTGGTTCTTTGTATTTTCAGAACTTCATCAGGATGCGAAGATACAGCCGCTCCTCCATGCGCACATCACAGGCTCCCTCACAGAGGCGCGGCAGCACCCTCACTTGTGAACAGGACCTTGCGAGGAAATCTAATAAGTGGGGTGCCTCCCAGCTCCCTCTTCCGCTTCTTTTTAGACCTGGTGATGTCATTGTGGAGCTGTGGGCGTCATGGGACCCTTACTTCATCGCTCCCTGTGCCCCCCCCCCCCGGAGCCCTCCCTCTCTCCATCTCACATTTAAATGTATATCCAAGCAGTTCAACCAACGTAGTTATATTAGAAATGGCTTGTTGGGTGCCACTGCTTTGGTCAATTACTCCACAACAACTCCACGGGATACAGCTGACTTGATGCCATATGCTAGAAGAAGCATAAGTTTCCTGCAGGGACTCCTGAACTAATTGAAGCTGCTCAGTCGTCATCAGCTCCTTCAATATGTGGCTCAGCACATTTGGCTTCATAATGCTTTTCAATTAGATAGCATGTTGTATCAATCCATTTGTAGCCAGTTTTTTCCCACCATGTTTCCATGTGCCACCCAACAGCTCCAGTTATTTAGGGCCAATAAAATGTTTCACTGCAGCAGCTGGAGATTGATGGGCTGATACTCACCTTTTAGATACCTAACCTGGTCACAAGCCTGTTCTGATTTTTAGAATTTTTTGTTTGATAGTTCATGTCAAACCTATATATTTCAAACAAATGTAAGATACTGTACTTGCTGCCATGATGTATTGTGAGTGTTTTATCATGGTCATCTATGTCCTTCATAGCCTACATATTGATAGAGCACTTTAAAGAAGGGCTCATTCCTAGTTGTTAGAAATGTGTCAAAACTTTTAAGATTTAAAAAAGAAAGTGAGAGCCCTCATTTAAACAAATATCACCTTAAAAGGTCTTATTACATTATTATTGTTTTAAATGTAGATGGGCAGATTTTGCATATGCAGTGAAGAAACTGTTAGTTGCAACCATCAAATATTGTTGTTGTAAAAGTGAATTATTAACTTATGAAATATGGTCTAGGAAATGATGAAGTCTCCTCATGCTCAGCTTACTCTCCCTCACAACTCACGGGTAAATGCAGTGAGTTACCTTCCACCTCTGTTTATTGTGCAAACTGCAGGGCAGAGGGTTAGGCACTTGCTTTCTGTGCTCACGCATCATCACTGACTTCCCCATCTAAATCCCTCTGCATTATGCTCCCTGACACACTCCCTCCCCCAGGAAGCACAGGCATCCACAGCCCCCTCACCATTTGTTGCCCACCTGAGATCAAGTGCTCGATTGTTCAATTATCGGGTGAAACCTACGTCATGCTGGCTGAGCCCTAAATTAAAGGGTAGCAGAGTTTATCCCGTGGCTTTTAAAAGTATGTGGGTGTATACCTAAACTCACAAAAAAACAAACAAACAAACAAAAACACACACACACACAAACACATTCACCAGCCTACACATGCACACACACAATCTTATGAATGGTGTGTGGGTAAAAGGTCTTGTATGCTTGTTTTTGTAGTGCAGCCCCCACACACGTTGCTGCTGTAATGAGAGAGAAACCCAACTCACCACCCATGGAATTACAATTGGGAGCCATGCTCTCTGATTGTGTGACCTGATCCAGCAACCAATAATGGTTTGTACATTTTCCACTCCACGCTACACATTCTAAATATAAAGGGAAAGAGAATAAAGCTTTTAGCGGGAGAGTGCACTCCAATCAAGTGTCTCTGTTTCCATGGGTGAATTGTGCTTAGTAACACGCTGGAAATGCATTCTGGGGGAGAGGGGTGTGTCACTGAAGTCAAGGTTATAGAGACTGAGCAGCACACAGCGTTCAGTGCACAGTACAGCGCTTCTCAAGTGCTTGTTGTGTAAGAGCATGTGGTATACACAAGTTTACACTGACACACACACACACGCACGCACGCACACACACACACACACACACACACACACACACACACACACACACACACACACACACACACACACACACACACACACACACACAATCAGTATTCCTGGAGGAAACTCCACCGTTATGGATCACTCACAGTGGATCAGTAAATCTTGCCGCACTGTAAAAATGTTACACTTGGTTTGTGGAGCATCCACTCTTTGAGAAAACTTTCTTTATTCCAAAACCTCCTGAAGTCTATTGGTACAATAGGATTTAACACAATAACAAAGTGAAGTCAAATTGTCTTTAAAGACTGTTTTCCAAATGGTTACTGCAGGTCAGGAACCTTTTTAAGTCATTGACTTGTATTTGTCTCCTGTTTAATATGTGCGTATTCTTGCATCTTTAGTTTGGAGTTTGAAAGTGGCAACCGTTTGTCTAGCAACAGAATAAGACCTGATTTTAAGGGTAAAATTGCACTATATTTTAGGTTAAGTGAAGATAATGGCTGTGGCCAGGGTTAGGCAAGAGTGTTTAAGATAAGGGGTGACACAGGCAGCAGTTATCAACCTTTTTGGCATTGGACCCTTCACAAAACAGTTATGTCTAATTTAACCCACTTGTCAAACTTTGTTCGGATATATTTGTCTCTTCTCAGTTGAGTAGTGTATGGTTTTAGATGACTAAAGAGGTAAAAGTACTCAGGAAAGTACTTATTATTTTCTATTATAGACAAAGAGAATGTTGTCATTTAATTACCTATCCGTTGATATTGTTGGCAACCCCTTTCACTAACAGTCATTATTTCAGTAAGGATCCTCAGATTTATAGCATTAAAGTGAGAATGTGTTTGTAATCTGACAATAACAGGGAGCTCTCCCAGAGGGTCACAATATAATTTTCCTCACTGCATTTATAATGATTACAATTGCTGCTTTTGTGTTTGCATGTAGGCCAGTAATTGTGTGTTATAGCACCTCATTGATATTCCCCAGCTAACTCACAGATATTGCTCATATTATATTGTCTGTTAGCAGTTTTACCCGACTGGGATTTCTTGTTTGAGTGACATTCTCCAGCTGTGAACAACAAATAATGTAAGTGTGATATCTGTGCAGATCTCTAATCTCCCACTCTCTTCTTTTCGTACATGCAGCACAGTCAAATGCACACAAACACACACCTTTGGGAGGTACAGCCACAGCCTAATGTTATATGATGTATCCTGACAGTGGTTAATGTGGACGCAGAGTGTGAGTAATGGTTTGAGTCTGTTTTCATCAAGGAGCCTGACTGACTGAGGAGGAAGTGAAGACAACAAACGAGAGGAGAGAGAGATCCAAATAAAGGAGGTGGAGCAGTCTGCTTCCAGTGATAAATAAATGATTAAGCCCGATGCACTAAAAAGTCAATTAAATTAAATTAAATGTGTTAATGGACAATCATGTATTAGGAAACCTCTCCGATAGGAAGGGTTTGTGTGTGTTAGAGATGTGTATAGCTTTAATGTGTTATCTCTATAATAAAAGGCTGCCTCGAATGACAAACAGTCTGCTGGCGTCATCTGCTGGATACTTTTTAATCATTTAGATTTCTGCTGGTTTCAAAGGTTGTCACTAGAGAACGCTGTCTCACTACAAACTAATGTCCAATGCTTGATATAACTTTGACTGGATGATAATATAGCAGTGGTGGATAAAGCATTTGGATAATTTACATTAGACTACATTTCATTCATCCAAAGCAACATACAATAAGTACATTCAATTATGAAAAAAGATACGTACGCCAGTAAAATTACTAATACCACACTTATTTAAAATATATGTCAATGTGATGTATTGAAATTGTTACTAAAAAATAAGTCTTATCAGAAGAATTAGTTGATACCAATGCAGAAAATTGGCCCCTGTTGCCAACACATTTTCAACTCATTGATCTGGCTGTAAAACCACTTGAAATGGTGGAAGAAATACTCAGATTCTTTGCTAGATGGTAGATGGTAAGCAAATATGCAAGTAAAATTACCTTAACAGTTCTGAATTCAAAATTCTACTTAAGGTATAAACAATTATGTATATATCAATGGATCTACTCAAGCAATGTACAAATACCTCTTTACTGTGCTTCAGTAATTATATCTACTAAAACTGACCTAATATTTATTTATCTTCTCCCTATCCTTCTTTTCCCCTGTTTTAATCATGAGGATTTTAATGGAAAGTGAATGAAAAATAAAGTGGAGATTAATGACAGTTTACAGCAGGTAGATGAATAGTGCATGAATTACAGTGTAGTTGTATTCATCATATACATGGAATCTCAGCCCCAGACCTTCCAAAAACAATCACGCAGCTTAAGGCAACGCTTGAATTATCTATTTAAATCTTTAAACAGTGTCAAAACTTTGATAAACTCTGACTTTATTTCTCTGATCTGTGTCTAGAAGCTCCGGATAATGGAAGGAAAAAGTCAAGTACAAAAGTTACGCTTGGATACAATTTGGGAAATACATACTTGTAGATTAAAGGAAGAGGATTATTACATTTTGCTTATGACAAGAATGTTGGTGGCATACTTAGAGGATGAGGTAGTGGAGGCAGCCAGAGTTTTATGGACTACTTTTAAGTCAGAGTTCACTGCATGTTTATACTGTTCATTATGGAACACTTGAATTGAACACACAATTCAATGTCTCAAATATTGTGACTTGCTGTGGACCTTGTGGCAAGGCATGGAAAGTAGACCTGTACCCGTGACAATACAATAAAGTAGATTAACTGTTTGGTAGTCTTGTGACCGATGGTCGTCGGACATGTTTAGCACATATCAGGATGTCATTATAGTTAAGCTGAAATCTGGAAAAATTAACAAACAGCATTTGGTTAAATGACATGCAGTGTGTAAAAAGAATGTGTTGGTGGAGTGCTTATGGGATAATAAGTCTGCAAGTGGTCATTTAGTTTACCTTTCACACTTCCTGACTACAATTGCCCTTTGTGGTTTACTGCTGTCTTGAACGTAGAATCAAGTTGCTAAAAAGTTGCAACTGAAGTAAATAGATTTGAAATTGATGTAAGAGGAAGTTGAGGTCAAAAGGACTTCAGACTGTTAAACCCATTCTTTTTAGATAATCCTCCGAAAGCCTCAGGTTTAGCAATAGTGCAGCAAGGTCAGTTTATGAACTTATGCAGTGGAAATGTGGGTGATATATTAACCATTTATTTTTAGAATATAGTATGTGCAATGTGTGTCACAGGACACATGAAGTAAGAACATTATACAGACTCACATTGTTCAACATGTTTTAATTTAAGTGGAAAAAACAGCAGGAATCAGCCAAACGATAAAGTGCAGTTAAAGACAGTAATAATGCTAACACCGTCAGACAAATACTGAAATAATTATTAAAAATAAGATTCACATGACAAAAACATCTTCTTCCAGCTTGAATGCACCGAGTGTAATCCATGTCAGGATACAGAATGATGCCAAACCAACCGAAGTTAGTGCATTTCTATAACTTTCACAAATAAACCTGAGTCTTCCAGCATTGCCTTAAGTAGTTAACACAGTGTTATCTCGTTTAAAGACAGGTCATGTCACAGTGGTTGTAAATGTGAAGGAATGACTGAAATATGAAAATAAGACAGCCCTTGCAAATGATCAGGCACATAAGTCAAACACAATACCAAAACACAGACGCACAAACACTCAACTTAGACAACCAGGCCCCATCCCCTGCAGTATAAAAAATGTCAGGGAAGTCACCCGATTGCTGCTCCAACTTGCTGGCTCAGAATCACAATTGTTCATAACACCTTTATATTACCATCTGCTGTTTTTCAGTTCCTCCTGAAAGTAAAAGTCCAGCTTCCCCAGCCTTGTGATGCCAGCAGCACAAGTAGCTTTCCTCATAAAAAATAATAGTCATATAAAATGTGTCAATGTCTTCATCCCTGGCACAGCACGTCAGTTTCAAACTGCAGCAGCTGTCCCATGAAGGCCAGGTTGGGGGAGATGACCTGGCGGCGTTGCTTCACAAAGTCGAAGGCCTCGTCGAGCTTGACGCGCTGCGTGTGCATGAGGTAGGCCAGACAGATGGTGGCGGAGCGGGAAATACCTGCCTGGCAGTGCACCAGCACCCGACCACCACTCTGCTTCACCGAGTCTGTAGGCGGAGAGCGGAAAGAGGAAGACAGATGAGCACAGTGCTTTCCATTTCACATCGGTTTCTCTGACATCAGTGGAAATCTATTACATGCAGAAATACAATTAAAGCTTTACACTGAATGACCGGAGATGTAAGTGCAGTCACCATGAATAAAGTGAGTTCTTATGAATAAAATGAGTTCAACTCTGTGTTCAACTTAACTAAACTTGATAAAGGTGTCAAATAAAAAACATAAACACAGCTGTCTTCTGCAGCCTAAGCCAGTTGTTTTGTATTCAGGTGATTACACTGTTGGTCCATAAGACTAGGCTACAGAATGAATTTCAGTGTACAAGCTCATTTTTTGGGATATTTTACATTGAATCAACAATGTTAAAAAAGGTGACTCACTAAACTAACATGAGACCAATTCATTGTGTGCCAGGTGGGTCTTCTCATTTTGTTTCTTGACATTAAGCAAACATTGAATGTAATAATGAACTCACCGATGAAAGCGATGGCTCTGGAGAAGCAGGCTCCGATGTCAGCAGCCAGATTGTCCTCCACCATGAGCTGCAGATACTGAAAATCCCCCTCAAAGAAGTTTGGGCATGTCGAGGAAACATTGAGCACAGCAGTGATGCCCGCTGCTGCGAGGGTCTCTCTGCGGGAGGAGTGGATGGCACTGCCCAAAAACAGGAAGGGCAGCAGCTCCACCGGACCATCCTACAATTTACAAAATCATAAAAAAGGGCCCATGTTTATAATTCAAGAATAATCAAGCGGTTTGATCTTTCTTTTTTTTTTTTTTTTTTTTTTTTTAAATCATTCATCTTTTTTTTCCATACATTGATTTTTGATACGAACTCTTGAATACTTTACATTTATTGTCTAATAGCCCTCAAAGATTATTTTGAATTTACCCTATCATATGCTGGTGTTCTCCGACCCGTCACCATGGGCTCTGGTTCCACTGCAGAGAGCTGACTGCAGGCTGAGCTGTAACAGAGCTCTGGATAGGCCTCAGAAAATCCCTCCAATCCACCTTAAAAGGGAGATAACATAGTATTAGCAAAGTTCCAAGCTATCACTAAAGTAATCCTTAAAAAAAATAATGCATGAAACAAGAAAAATGTTCTGGTAAACAAGATTAAGTATATAAATAACTTTTTTTTTTAAATTACAGATTCTCAAGTTTTTAACCTTAAGGTTTGATTGTGGAGATTTAAACGGTTATACTATATTGTAGTATAGATATATTGTTCACCATATAGCTCATGTTTCCAAGTCAAAAAGTACAACAACTCAATTTTAACAGTAGCCTAAAATATTTAGTTGGTGCGTAAAAGCAGATGTTAAGTGTACCTTGTAGGAAGCAGATCTGCGTGTTAACCTCGTTGTGCAGGGCGGTGAGTAGCATCTGCGCCACGCTCTCCGGCCTCAGCTCGGCCACGGAGCGGCTGCTCTCATCCACCACCACCACCGGGGAGAAGTCCCCGCGCCGCAGCCGGCCCAGGAGCGCCTTGTCCGGTATGAGCCACTCCAGAGCCACCACCGAGGTCTTGGATCTACGGCGCATCATTGAGTTCCAGTTGACGTTTCGGGACTCGCAAATGTGCGCAAAGGAAAAATTGAGGAAGGGTCTGCAGTCGAGCACCACACACCCAGCAGAGGTGTACTGCTCCATGGGGGTCCTCAGGATGTGAACCAGCTCATTGCTACTTATCTCCAAAGGCTCACTACTTGAAATCATGACTGCAAATAATGTGTTTAAAAAGATTTAAAAAAATAAATAATAAACTATTTGTTCTAAGCAACAAGAATAAAGCAGGCTTCTTCCTGTGGAAAATCGAAGAGATTGATAAAGTAAGTTACTTTTGGTGATGATATTAAAATCTACTACGAATGTATCTAGAGAGCACTTGTTGAATTCTCCGACCGGTCTGTTAAAATCAACTGTAGATTGAGAGTTTCATTGATAACAGCTGGGAGAGGGGCGTGGTCTTCGAGATCCCGCCTTTGTTTTCCACAGAAGGAACGACGTCAAAGGCGGAACGACCATATATGGCCCGGCCGTCACTCCTCATATGGACACTGACGTCAAGTCAGATTTTCCTACCGCGCACGTGGTGGTTTGGGGTTATTCTGTGTTTATGTGTTGAGTGACGTTATGCTTTGAGTTAAACCCTCGCTGCCTTTAGAGATGATTTATTTGGGTTAGATTAAACCTGAGCGTCTCTAAACTACTGCCTTCCAGCTTCTGTTTTCATGAACACACTAGAAAAACACTTTCCTCTCAAAGCTTTTACTTTGTTGCTTTTCACTTTCAGTGAAAGTTAAATGATGCACAGCTACATTGTCAGAACCGGACTGATTGCCTTGTTGCTTCTCTGCTGGGAACTCATTCTTTCTTCTCTCATATGACATTACACTGAACAGAAAAACAAATCTCTGCCGTCTGCAAAAGTTGCACATTGCACTGGTTATATCAGATACAGCATTTTTCCTACTTGTTGTACAAGGATTAAGGCCTGTGCCAGATATGGATTACGTTGTTTAAACAAACAGACATTTTATTTAGCACATAGGCGAAGTGTAAAGTAACTTAAACAATCCCATAATTGTACTACCATGAGTTTTCATAAACTTACACTTTGAATACATTCAATTACACTCAAACCATACGGCTGGTGATATTCAATTTTTTTTTATCTCAACAAATCCGAAGAAGCTAGCAAGACAAACAATGTTTTAAAATGTTACAAAAAATACTTTTTTTTTTTGAAAAAGCTTAATAAAAAATTATAATAATTTACAAAAAAATGCTTTAGTAAATACTCTACCTTTTAATACAAGTTACTCAAAGAGGAGTGAACAGTAACTTAATTGGGGAACTTTTTAAGCTGTGGAATTGGTGCACAAGCGAGCATTCACACAAAATCAACTACAGTGTACTACTTGTTCATTACACTACGGCTCATCAATTTGCTTTTAATTGTTCTGGACAACAATGGAGGTCATGGAACAAAAGAATAAGATATATCTAAATGTGTTCCATAGGATTGATGAGGAAAATATAGATAATTTCCAGACGTATACATTCAGTACAGTATTATACTGTACAATTTAAAGTACCGGTAATGTGCTGAAGAAGAATAGGCCTTTAGCTAAGCAAACAGGATATCAATTGTGAGGCACTTTTGTCTCATTCATTTGGTAGAAAGCTTTCTAAAAAAGGAAACAGCATAAAACAAATGATTGAAATATGTCATTATCAAACTCTAAAGACCATTAATGGTAAAGATTACAAAGGTTGTAGTTTTTTTTTTTTTATGTTTAGGTGGTTATAGTTAAGATGCCCCTTTGACTCTTTCTTGGTTACCTAAAGTCCTAAAAACCAGAGTGATTTCTATTTGTGTCTGTCATCTGCTCAGTGGTTTTAGGGGGGCTCACTAGGGGAAAAGGGATGTTGCGTAAGGGGTTAATATTTTTTTTTATCAAAGTGTAATAAAAAGGTGTGGGTGACAACGTTGTCTACTTAAACAATACCCACACGCCGATCAGGTACATTTGCTTAATGAAACTTATTGATGATTTAAGAATGTTTACTTATACTCAGATCTTTATTATTTAATTATAGAGAAACACTTTAGATTATAGGTGTTTTAATTACATCTCAAGATGGTTTTTATTTTTGTTTTAACTTGAGTATTGCTTTCAATTGAACTTGTCTCAATCCTACATGAGTAATATTTAGTTTTCCTAAATGTGGCTCCCACCACTGGATACAGTGGGTACACTCATTGTCCTGTAAGTAACCCACAGCAAAACATTCTTTAGTGTGGGATAGTTAATATCGAAGTGTAATCTGACGCCTTTGTCTTCATTTCCTCACAACCACGTTAAAGTTACCCTGCCTTCCCACATACGTCTCCCACTCAAACCTCTGACTCTACTTTCTTCTTGTTCCCATTTCCTTCTTTCCCTCCCTCAGCATGTCTGCTGGCCCCTCGCAAGCCCTCCCACTTTGTCTTGCTCTCCCCCTGCTGAGGCTGCGTTTTCACTCCACACACTGACTTGGGTTAACAGTTTATCATGGCTGTCAGCAGAGCCGCTGAGCATGCATTTAGTGTAGCCTCAACCTGCACTTTAGGGCTTGAACACACACATTGAGGTCTGTTGAGTAGGAAGAGTGTGACATGACTGTCTCTGTTTGAGGGTGGTTAAACAAAGATTTCTTTTTTTAACATTCGGCTACATCACAAGAGTCCCACAGGAAACAGCACTGCACACACACATCCTGTCACCATACACACCCACTCTCATCCCTCCAACTTTGTTTCATTTGTCATAGCTAATAACACAAACAGACTTCCCTGACTCAAAATGTTTGTTGGAAATTACCCTGAAAAACCTGAGCAAAGATGAATGATTTCAGAGGTGACTAAGTTACTTAAATTCTGGATGCAGTGACTCATACATCAATCATTCACTAGCTTTCAGTTTTCTTTGGTTAGGATGTTTAACTTTCCTAAATTAGCACATCAGTCTGTCATTGTAGGCAAATAATCAGCCAAAAATAAATCTGGCCTGACATGATGCTGAGAGATGGGTGTGAACTTGTTGTTATTATGTCTATTGTAGGAAGTTTGACTTATCAATTGACAGCGAGCTGAAGGTGCTGAAAATAGCTCAAGGCATGAAAGATAAATTGCTTCAGTGAGCAGATTATACGACGCCTGACAAGACGTATAGAGGTGATGACGAGGAGGCAATGGAGATCATGACAGAACTTGTGAAGGTAAGAGGTGACTACTTTTTGAATCAGCTTGTGTTATCAAAATGTAGAAAGGGCACACTGTAGGCAGACGGAAACAGAGAATAAAACATCTGGTGATGCAATAAAATGGTAACTTCAGACTGAGAGCATTATTGGTAAAGCAAAGATGTGCCCCTTCTCTCTGAGGTAAATACACATTAAAAGAAACCCTTGTAAAATATCTGTAGCTAGCCTTCCTCCCTGCCTTCCACATGGGGATTATCCAGGATTAATTGGATGTCTGGAGCTATTAATCTCTGAAAAAAACACTGTAAGCCGAGAGATTTACCTCGTCCCTGATTCCTCTCATAAACGCCCACGTGACAACGCCATAACTCCATATCGGGGGAACGTGACCCCGCTTGGGTCAGATCATTGATGTGTTCTGGCAAGCGTAATCTAAATGTTACGGAAAGTTGAGACATTTCTGGGGGATTTTTAGTGGGTGTGTGTCTCTAGTTTTATTACAACACGCACTTTCTGTTTTACGAGTGACATCACAGTGTCTGATTCATAATGATTGATTGCTTGAGTTTTTTTTCATTGCTTAAGACAAACAACATATCAACATGTTTCTCACTTCTGTGGAATTTCTACTTGGCTCTTTGTGTCGGGAAATATATTTAGCTTTTAAGAGAAATGTCCAAACTGTGTTAACTTATAAGTGAGTGAAACTTCCCTGCCTGTAATGTGTGTCTTTACTGTATACAGTATCTTTATCACACCGTGTTTGGTGTGTTCTTCCTCTCCGTCCTCCTCCTCGGCTCCTCTGTGGCTCTCCTCTGACTCATCATCATTCTTAAAAAGATTATAAACAGTAATATTAAATTAGGTCCAGACCTAACACAAAGAAATAACAGCAAGTGACCGGATTACCTTGTTCGTGTGTTTAAAATCACACATTGACTGACATTACTTCCTGTAAGAAGTGAAGATTTTTTCAGAGAAAACAGCTTAATGACGTAAAAAGTTAATTGAAAACAATAAACATATTTATAACTCAAATACGTATGTCTCATAAATCATGATTCACTCCTCCAGCATTATGACTACTGTACATGGCCACTTCCTTTATCTTGCATCATTTTTAGTTTGTCATACTCTGTGACTGTTACGTGTCACCGCTTTCACACCCACCCCTTCCTGCTACCCTCTATCTCTCTTTCTCCACCCACCCACTTAATGTCTCTCACCCCAGGACAACTGTGAGGCCTATGATCGCTGCCAGACTCATAGCAGTAACCATGGCGATGAGTGGCACCAGCAGGTCTTCAGGATGGAAAGTTGAGTAGTTGTCTCCGTGAGGCGGCGAGGGCAGCGTGAACACGGGTCGGAGAGTTGGTTCAGGCACAGGGGCGACTGTGAAGAGGGAGGAGGGCAACCACAGAGAGATGAGATAATAGAGTTGTAAAAACATCTCTCTTTGGAGGAAAATATAGAAGCAGGACATGGGGTGACAGGGGTTTCCACACTGTCACCAACCTCCAAACAAACATGCTGAGGCCGTGAACGTTTACAAAAAGCTTTCTCTCAGGGAATATTTATTTTGTTAATTTAGCAGGCAACTATAAGCATAAGGTACAGATATCAACATGTTTTTTATGCATCTGGCATTATTTGTTTTGTTTTTATTTGCAATACATAGCACATTTGAATACAGGTTAACCCTGTGTGCTTTGTTTTAAATCCATTCATCATAATGAACATCAAATAGGCCAAAAGAAAGCCCACCGAGTGAATAAGAAGAAAAACACCAACCCAGTTAAAGAAATTCATACATCCTGCATCTACTTAACCAGCAAAAAGCACAGACACACACATATGCAGTAAATAAGTATAAGCCATTAGTTTAACTTTTTCAACATTATGGGAATTATTTGTTTGAAAGTAACCGTTTCAGATTTCGCCTGGATATCCTTTAACATGGCCCTGAAGTCTAACATTTAAGGAGCACTTAAACACCAACAGCGAGACATTCGATCTGAGTGTTTAATTTACTGCCATTATATAGAATTGACAAATGTTTATTGGAGTGTTCTTCTTCTTTTATGTTTGAACTGTTCAAAGTGAGAAATTGAGCATGTGTTGTTGCCTTTTGCCCTTTGAGCGACAATTTTCTGTGATGTCATGTATGAGAGCTGTACCCTACCAGTGAGGAGGAAAGTGACTCGGTAGAAAACGGTTCCATTACGGCCCTGCAGAGAGCAGCGATATGTTCCC